GACGACATACTATACTATGACTTTTTTTCATGGTTTTGGACGACATATTATACTATGACTTTTTTCATGATATGGGACGACATACCATACTATGACTTTTTTTCATGGTTTTGGACGACATACCATACTATGACTTTTTTTCATGGTTTTGGACGACATACTATACTATGACTTTTTTTCGTGATTTGGGACGACATACCATACTATGACTTTTTTTCATGATTTGGGACGACATACTGTACTATGACTTTTTTATGATTTTTGACGACATACTATACTATGACTTTTTTTCATGGTTTTGGCCAACATGCTATACTATGACTTTTTTTCATGATATGGGACGACATACTATACTATGACTTTTTTCATGATTTGGGACGACATACTATACTATGACTTTTTTTTCATGATTTGGGACGACATACTATACTATGACTTTTTTTTTTTCATGATTTGGGACGACACACTATACTATGACTTTTTTCATGATTTGAGACGACATACTATACTATGACTTTTTTTCATGATTTGGGACGACATACTGTCCTATGACTCCATCCAGCACTTTTGGACGACATATTATACTATGACCTTTTTGGCACCTTTTGATGACAAAATAAAGTATGACTTTTTTTTTTCTTGTCAATTTTTACAACATACTATACTATGACTTTTTAGCCCATTTTAAGGCATGATACTATAACATTTTTTGTGACATAATATACCGTAGCTTTTTCAATAACATACAATATTATGACATTTTTAATGACACTCTATACAATTACTTTTTGATGACATTGGTACGATCCAACTTGTGAGGGGAAGAGGGAAGCAACACACCAGATGCCTTTGGCACAGTTAAAGTTATTTATTAACAATGAAAAAGGATACCATGACAAACAAGATATGAGGCAAAACTATAAAGCAAAAGGGCTTCAGAGGGCTGTTCAACTCAAAGAAATAAATATCACCAAAAGAGGACTCTTTTAAAACAAGTTACTAAATGTATCTAATGACATCAAAAGTGGAAAATAACAACCGAACAATCCTAAATTGTTGCTGAAAAATGCAAATTAAACAGCACCAATTCACCTTGTGTATCCAACAAACAAATCCTGTGTGTGTGTGTGTGTGTGTGTGTGTGTGTGTGTGTGTGTGTGTGTGTGTGTGTGTGTGTGTGTGTGTGTGTGTGTGTGTCAGTTGCGAATGTGATGCCATAGCTCAGTTCAAGGAACAGTTACTCCAGTGGCACAGAAAGAATACAATTACAATGGAATTACAAATCTACTTCTTAACACTCTTAAAATAAACAATCAAGAGACATGCTGGCAGGCAGAAAATTTCCCGCTATTATGTCAAGCAAGCTGGCTAGACAGATGTAGTGATTTCAGCTTCCAAGAACCCATCTGATTGGAGGAGTCAATTCGATGCTGCACCAGTCGGAAGATCCATACCAAGGACTGTGACACCTGTTGTGGAGGAGCCATCCAGTGCTGGCAACCAGAAGATCTAATATACAAGCAACAGAGCTACAAAATAGGGTCATTTTTGACATACTATACTATGACATTTTGTATGACAAACTAAACTAAGGCATTTTTTTCCAAACTTTTTTTAGCACATTTTGACAACATACTATACTATGAGTTTTTTTAGGACATTTTGACAACATACTACACTGACTATTTTTTAAGCACATTTTGATGACATACTATGCTATGACTTTTTTTCATGATTTGGGACGACATACTATACTATGAATTTTTTTCATGATTTGGGACAAATTATAGTATGACTTTTTTCCATGACTTGGGTCGACATACTATGCTATGACTTTTGTTCATGGTTTTGGACAACATAGTATACTATGATTTTTTTTTCATGATTTGGGATGACATACTATGCTATGACTTTTGCATGGTTTTGGGCGATATACTATACTATGACCTTTTTGTGATTTGGGATGACATGCTATACTGTGACTCTTTTCATGATTCATGACAACATACTATACTATGACTTTTTGCATGATTTGGGACGACATACTATACTATGACTTTTTGCATGATTTGGGACGACATACTATACTATGACTTTTTTTTCATGATTTGGGATGACATGCTATACTCTGACTTTTTCTCATGGTTTTGCACGACATACTATACTATGACCTTTTTTCATGGTTTTGGACGACATACTATGCTATGACTTTTTTTCATGGTTTTGGACGACATACTGTACTATGACTTTTTTTCATGGTATTGGGCGATATACTATACTATGACCTTTTTTCGTGATTTGGGTCGACATACTATATTATGACCTTTTTTCATGGTTTTGGACGACTATACTATACTATGACTTTTTTTTTTTCATGATTTATGACGACATAGTATACTATGATTTTTTTCATGATTTGGGATGACATACTATACTGTAACTCTTTTTTCATGATTTATGATGACATACTATGACTTTTTTCATGGTTTTGGACGACATACTCTTCTATGACTTTTTTTCATGATTTATGACGACATACTATACTATGACTTTTTTTCATGATTTGGGATGACATACTTTGACTTTTTTTCATGATTTGGGACGACATACTATACTATGAATTCATTTCATAATTTAGGATGACATACTATATTGCGACTTTTTTTTCATAATTTGGGACAGGTTTTAATAGCATATTCTTCTTTAACTTTTTTTTTTAATACATAGGATGTCAATTTTTTTTAAAGATATCTTTAAAGTTTTTTAAAATTACATACTAAACTGCAACATTTTTAATGAAATATTACACAATGGCATTTATATAACATAGTACACCATGATTTTCATGACATACTACATTGACTTTTTTGTTTTAATGACATTTTTTTTGACATACTATACTGTGTTGTTTTGTGATAAACTATAATGTGACTTTTTATGTTTTATCACATGCTACTGACTTTTGACTTTTGACTTTTTTATGACATACTATACCACTATGTGGTATAGTATGTCATAGTGCCATAGTAACACTATGGCACTGTTTCACTGGAATTGTACCTTAAGAATTAATGTGAAAAATAAATTGTGATATATACTTTTTTTATATTGGCCATTTTTCACTGTTTTCTGACAATTTACAGACTAAACAATTGATTTGTCTCTAATGCCATTGTGTGTTGTAGGACGCTGATCTATCCAGAAACATGCCTGGCAAAGTTAAAGTGTCTGCTCCAAATCTGCTCGCTGCCAAGAAGAAATAAGAGACGGGTAAACACAGACCTGTGGGACTCTGCCAACTTCATCTATATTACAAGCAAGACCGTTACAGGCTAAGATCTGATCACCACAGTACAGTTCCCCTGTTTGGATATCGATAATTTTATTTTAAATATTGATTGTATTTGTTGACCAACAATTTTTTGAAATGACAACATGTAAATTAACAAAGCTGAACAGAATGTGTTTATTCTTTGAGTACGTATTAACAGTATGCATTGTATTCTACAATAAAAAACACCAAGAGAACATTGTGCAAACCAGGCAAATACAAACAAAGCCCTACTGACATTAGGCATCTCAGTGCAACGTGACTCAACATCCAATACACTCACAATTTAAGTTATTGATTAAATAAAAAATTAAATGCTACAGGAGCCACTCATGACAATTTAGAAGACTTTATAAGCCTCTTGCAAAATAAAGAACCCACA